AAAAAAACAAAACACTTTTTTTCCCCTTTACGGGCCATCCCCAGACAGAAGGAAAAACTTCATCCTTGTTTTATATGCTAACTCTTGAAATGGGCGAATGTCTAGTTCTTTTTAGTACAACGACTCTGTGCATTCTTTTTTAAAAAAAATCATTTTATTGGGGGTTCGTAACAGCTCTTATAACAATCCATATATCAATTGTATTAAACACATTTGTACATATATTGCCATCATTTCCAAAACAATTTCTTTCTACTTGAGCTCTTGGTATCAGCTCCTCTTTTTTCCCTCCCATCCTAGTGAACCTTGATAAATTATAAATTATTTTTGTTTTCATATTTTATGCTGTTTACTCTCTCCTTTCACCCACGTCAGTTACATATCATAGCATTCACTTATTGTGAGTGTACAATTTACTAATTATACAGAATTATGTGTAAGCATCACCATAATCTAATTTTAGAACATTTCCATCATAAAAAAAAAAATCTTATGTTCCCATTTCTGCTCCCAATCCAGCCCTAGCCAACCACTAATCTTGTCTGTATAGATTTTTCTTTTGTAGGCATTTAACATAAATAGAATCAGATATTATGGCTTTTTGTTTTGTTTCTGTTTCTTAGTCCATACCTGTAGTATATATCAATACTTCAATCTTTTTATTGCCCAATAGTATTCCATTGTGTGGATATACCATACTTTGTTCATCTGTTTACCAGTTGACAGACATCTGAGTTATCTCCGAGTTTTGGCTATTCTGATTGATGCTGTTTTGAATTTATGTGTATAAGGCTTTGTATAAACATATGTATATATATATTTCATTTCTCTTGGGTAAATAAATACCTATGAATGAAACTGCTGGACCATATTGTAAATTTATATTTAACATTTTAAGAAATTGCCAAACTATTAATTCTTAGAGACTTATATGACCTATTACCCACCAGCTATGTATGATGGTTTCAAGTTCTGTCCTTCTCAACGCTTGTTAGTGTTCATCTTTTTTACCTTCATGATTAAATTGCTTTAAAATTAGTTGGGTATATATAATCACATTCATTGTTTGCTCCCAAATCCCCTTCACCTTATCTTCCACTCCCCACGCCCACATCCATGATAAACCATTACATCAGTTATTATCTTGATGTATCTACTCCTATGCTTCACAAACCAGGAAACCCAACAGAAACAATAAAAAACAAGGTGGTGAGAATAAAATAATAAAAATACAAATAATGAGTAAGAAAGAAAAGACCACTATCAATATTTTAAAAGCCAGGGAGGACATTTTGTCCTGGAACAAGCAAGAAATACTTGAGCCTGGAGTAAATTCAGCTTGTGTCAAGAGGGAGGTCAACTGACCAAGTATCAAGTTTGATCCAGCATAATCAAGTTTACAATGTTCTCTGTCTGATAGTAAAGTTGTTCAAGACCCTTGCCTGTGGTTAGAGGGGATCTGCCAGAGTCTTAATTTAACTAGATACTCTGCAGATAGATTTTTGAGCTCCCACTGTCCTCCATAGC